CATATGTCAATTTTTACTTTACATGTAATTTGTCCTTAGAAAAAAAATATGAAAGCTAACAGCTATATTGCGATTTTCTTAATTAAAAAATATGAATGAATGAATATATGTGTAATGGAATGTTTACACAAGTTCAGTAATTTATCTTATATTCTAACTTTAATAAATGTCAATTTATTATTATAGTAACGTCATATTTATCATAGTAAATATAAGGCACATAGACTGACTTTAGAAAAGTCATTGTCCAAAAAAAAAAAAGACTAGCATGAACTCTGGTCGAAGATATGTTATTCATAATGATTACTCGGCCTGTACTTCATCCTTTTGTTCATACTTTGCTAATTTTGATTGCAGTTCGACAATTTTAGCTTTGGACTCCTCTAATTCTTTCTTCAAGATATCAAATTCCGAAGGATCCATAATACCACCAAGATTCTTACGTATATAACTATAGTACAGATAAGGAAATAACTGATATTTTTTCATAATCATTCACTATTAGAAAGCAAATATTTTTTCATTCAAAAAGAGAAGTATAAAAGTTACAATAAATTAATGTTTTAATATCCATTTCTATCAATGTAGATTAATTTTAACCTCATTAAACTCGCTTTTATCTTTTTCTAATTCTAAGGCTGGTATTTATAGTCTATTCTTATTTCAAGACCGTCTTAAGTAATGTCTTAAGATGTTAATACAGCCCTCTGATTGGTTCACACCTCAAGACAAAACTTAAGACAGTCTTGAATATAAGAACTATGAATATTGACCTAAAAATTAAAAAAAGATGAGTAAATTAAATCATTAATTGATTAAAGTTAATCTGCATTGATAGACGTAGACAAAAGATCTGATTCCATCAATGCAAGATGAACTTTAATTAAATTGAACCAACATTAAGGTTAATTTTACATGTTTTTGATCATACTGATGGAACCAGGCTTAAGTATATATGAATAACAACTTAAATATCTTTCTCTCTTGAAGCATCTTAAGTATCTTTGATTTTAAATTGAACAATTCTGTTAAACAACATTGATTTTTTGTTGAGAATAAGAAAAGGATACTCTAAGGCATCGGTTGGCTTTTCAGTCTCTTCATAGAGTGAGACAAGTATTTTTGTGAGGGCATCCATAACACCAGCTCTCTCCAGATACTTGCGAAATTCCTCTCGTTTGGCAGTGACAGACTATAAAGCAAAAAGAAATTCATTATTCCAAGAATAAAATGAAACATAATCAATCATAATTGATGAATTAAATTAATCTAATACAAAACATATATTAAGTCAAGATGTTTCTTTCAGCTAAATTGCTTGTATTTCATCTTTCCTCTTTTTCTCTTCATGTAAAAAAAAAGAGAAAAGATGAGTACAAGTTTAGCTGAAAAGTCTGTAAATATATTATACGATTTACAAAAAATATCTGAATTTTATAAATAATCCACATGGATAAGTAAGGTATTTTTCATTCTCATTTCTCTGAGATCTTCATAAAGATTAAACCACATAAAGGACAAGTTTTTTTAATTCAACTGATCAAACGCATTATGCCACAAACGTGCTTTTTACAAACAAAATTATATTTGCGTACAATGCGATATATCAATCGATGAAATAAGAAACTTGCCCAAACTAGCATAGAGGGCTGTTTGTCTGGAATAACCCATTCCATGTCTATCACACAACATTCTTTCTATACCGAAATAATTTCTGATTCATTTCTATCGTCTAATAACCATTGTAATATTTTTCGAAAAGAAGAAAAACATCGAATTTAATAACATTTAACATCAGTAACAGCAAATAAATGTACGATACGAACATAAAATTATGGCCGATGTTAGAACGTTACAAAAATAAAACGGTATGTAAAATGACGCTTGCATCCGTTCAAATCCGGTACAAACACGAGGCGGGCAATTTATCCTAAAGAGTGACAGATTAAACGACTAAAGATTAATATTAATGAGATAATTACCATTATAACGAATTTCCAAACGGCCTTTTCGCTCGGGATTCTCTTGAAAAACGCAATTCGAGAGATATAGCTTACTAACAATGGGTGAAAGCTGAGACAAAACGATCAAAGCCAAATTAGCGCCTGTCTCTTATCACGCCATAAACATAATATGGCTAGAGTCGGCTAGATCCGCTAGATAGGACATGAGATATGGAGTCACCGTCGTCACTGAAGAGTGGCGATCGTATAATTTTTCCCTAGAAAAGAAAATGCGAAAATTTCACACGACTTGACCATTGACAAGATACTATCAACAGAGAGAAACTAGAGAGTCTCCATGGAAGAGAGATAATAAACTGCATCACGTGACCCGTCTCCTCTGATTGGATCTTTGACTATAATGAACTGCCAGTAGTCAAGTTCAGATGTATCGCCAAGCTGAAAGATTAGGCTCCGTTCCGGACAGTAATTTTCTGCGGGAGTAGAAAGTTTTGACTATAGTATATGCACGTTTATGGTGTGCAACAGTCAGTAAAGGATTTCTATTTTCTGAAGAGACTATGCAAATAATTTTAGAATCCATTAATTTGCATGGTACTTAAATCGGAAAATAGAAGAAGAAAAAAAACGGTCAGTAACGGTCAACTTTCGCATTTGAACTTTTACTGTTCGGAGCGGAGCCTAACAATCTTTAGTCAACTTCAGTTCGGCGACACCGAGAGTATGCATTTCTATAGCAAATATGAGGGACTAGTAGCTCATGTGTTTATGGTCAAAGGATTGGATACGAGCATCAAAGCTCCATAAGCATAAAAGAGATTGGAAAAGATTGATCACATGACCCCCATTTTGATTGGATATGGTTATTCACGTAATGCAATTTGCCACTCTATCTCTTGGAGGCTCTTTAAAGCCGGCATTTGTAGTCAGTTCTTATATTCAAATCGCTTTAAGTTCAGTCTTAAGATGTCACGAACCAATCAGAAAGCATTAGCGTCTTAAGACATTTAATATGGTCTTGAAATAAGAATTGACTATAAATATCAGCCTAAGAGAACCTTGAGAGAGCTCATGTCGGCTTTTTTCCTGTTATCATCGAAATCGCCCGGACACTACCGCCATATATCTATTTTCAGTTTTTGGGAACTACGTGACTACATACATTTGATACTATTGATAAAATCGTATTATCGAAAGTAGATGTGGTTCGTCTCTACACTAAATCCTCAGGACAAAAGCGTGTCGACTATTCATAGAACCGATAGTTTAGGTCTGGATCCACAGTAGGTGTTTTAAGCCTTAAGTCGTAAGAAATTAATCAACTACAATCGAATGCAAAGAGAATAATTGATTGTGATTCGTCCATTTCTTATAATTTAAGACTTAAAAATCTATTATAGATCCGGGGTAATGGGTCCTTAAACGAAAAAATTTTAATTTTGCATCTCCTATACTGTTAGACATGTTTTTAAATTTCATTAAATTTTAAGTTACACAATTTGAACTTAATTCTATAACATTACATTAAATTTAATATATTTATAACCAAAAAGTATATTTGTGTACATAAAATTTAATGTATTTTTTATGAAAATTTATGAAATTTAATGTACTTTTTATAAAATTTTATTAAAAGTACATTAAATTTTATAAATTTAATGTACATGTTCATTACATTTAAGTAATTACTGTAATTTAATTTTCAGTTAAATCATTCATTAATTTTAATTTCGTTTATAATTATGAGTTTTATTTACATATAAAAGAAGCTCGTGATTATATTTCTAACAGTGTACATATGTAAATAAAAGTAGTTGAATTTTAATAAATGAAATTAAGAATTTAAACAAGTTAATTTAGTAAATTTTTCTTATAAAATTACAAAGTTATGTTTCTTAATGCAAATTTTCAGTAAATGATTCTGTCATTCACGTCTTATTCTAAAATAAAAGCGTTATTTAATATTCATTATTTTAAATAACACTTCTAACTTATTTCTTATTTAATATTTTAAATCAGTTTTCGGACACTATTTTAAATTTAAAATTTTTTTAAACAAGACTTTTAAGTTTTTTTTTATCGATTCCTACGATTTTATATTTTAAATAAGTTTCTAAAATTTATTTTATATTTTTTTATCTTAAATAAGTCGTAACAGTTATTTTACCAAGCCATGAGAGATCGGCATTATACATAAGTTTAAAGAATTTTTGAAACACAGAATAATTTACAGCAACAGTAGTGTCATAAATTAATTTTTTAATTAAAAAATTAAATAATGATTAACAAAATATTTAATACTTTTAACCAAAGCTGTATTGAGCCCAAATTGTTTTACAATATTAAGAAAATTGAATATATCTTTAATAGAAGGAATAAGGAATAACGATTTTAATCTATTAAAAATCAGGTACATCGGTTTCTGATAGGTTGAAATTGTTATTCCTTATTTCTAATTCCTTACTCTTACTATTGTGTCTGCACTCTTTTTAGTTTATGATTTATTATTGTATTGTACAATAGCATGTATATAATAAGTTATAATTAATAAGTTATATATATAAAATACTTTTATAAATAAGTATTAAATAAGTACATTTATGTCCAATTCTACCAATGTAGATTAATCTCGATATAGTTTAATTTTAATCTTTTTTTTATTTTAAAAATTAGAAATTGATAAAAAGTAATTTAAACCAAGATTAAAGTTAATGTGCATTATAGTTGTCCAAAGACTTATATAGATAATTAAACTAAGTTGTAGCTATAAGTATAATTTTAACTAAAAAAATCAGATATTTTTTTTAAATATTTGAAAAACAAATTTTTTTTATATAAGAATGAAAAAAAAATATATAGTTAACATTCATCTTTTCATCACTGTAGAAAAATTACTCAAATTCGATCGAAGTAATATAAAATTAAACACGATTACAATTTAAAGAAACCAAACGTTCGTGATTTCGCGCGCCATAAACTGATTGAACTGAACTTGCGCGCACCGCGCACATAATCAAGATGGTGGGCCATCAGCAGCGGGTGTCTGGTTTATCATCATCGTGCTTCGAAATTAATCGCGAAATGCGGTGTTAAGTTGCGATTTAACTACATGCACAACAACTCTGTCGTTTTCCTAAAGGAAAAAAAAAGCTGTGCTTGATGTGGCGCGAATTTTGGTCGCGTGCGCTTCTGACGTGCGCGATTGGTGCTTGTTCGATTATCGGCGACTTTGAGCTGAAGTGGTTGAAGTACGACAAGAATGAGTCGGCGCGCGCGGTGCTTGACAATGCGACGCACGCGACGGTGGGTGGCCTCACGTGGATGTTAATTGTCGTCCTTTCGCGGAAGTCGATTATGCCTAATTTAAATAGTATATTTTCCTGCTTTCTATTGGCGTCCTTCGTTGATCTGGATCACTTTATCACGGCGCGTAGTTGGCATATCCATGTGAGTACCACAAACAAAGCGTTCGAAAATTAACTTCGAAATTTGGATGAGTGATAAGCGGAGTGTATATTTTAACGATGACGATGTAATTAGTTTTTATATACTTTCTAGTAAAATATAGGAATTAATTATATTTAAATAAATTTATTAATAATACGGGTTTAAAATTTTCTTTCATTAAATTAAACTCGTATGACGTTTGCTTTAATTTTAATTTTTATTACATTCTAATTTTAATTTTTAATCTAGAATTTTTATTTTAAATTAAATTACAAAACAAAAAATATACATTGAAAGTTACAAAACAATTTGGAAATTATTTTTTAATGTAATAAAATTATTAAACAAGTGTCAAATCGAGTTACTGAAAAAATGTTATATATAAAAATGGTATATATAATAACTGTAAATATTCAATAGTAAAAGAAAGAAATTTGTATCTTTTAATTTACAATTTATAACTTTTATCTCAACAAAAGTTATCACTGTGACTAAAAAAAAATCGCAGAAATTTATGAGGAAAATGTCTAAAAATATTATTTTATTTCATATATTTCTAATTCTTGTTTTTTATTTTTATGTACATGTATGTATGTATATATATATGTGTGTGTGTGTGTGTGTGTGTGTGTGTGTGTGTGTGTGTGTGTGTGTGTGTGTGTGTGTGTGTGTGTGTGTGTGTGTGTGTATTTACATATCTGCGCATATAAATCTCTATTTTTTCTAATCTTAGCTTTTATTATTTTTTCAGGATGCCACGCATTTACAAAAACGGCCTTTCTTACATTGCACCACCATTCCTATTTTATTATGGATATTTTTTATCTTACTCTCCAATACCTTCCATTCTCCTCTAATGGAACACATTTCCTGGGTGATATTGGCTGCCTTCCTGAGTCACCATATACGAGATGGTACCAGAAGAGGTTTGTGGTTTTATCCCTTCGGATCTACCCGTCCTATTCCCTACTATTTATACGTAAGTCTTTGTATGTCCCTTCCTTACATACTACATTGGCTTATGAGTCTGCACACATTTGCGCCGAAGAATAACAACAATATTATACTTATCGATGTATGAGACATATTTTAGAACACGCATATTGTATACCGAGTGTACAAACAATCGGACACCTTTTTATAGGTGTATGTATAAGAGCTATTATTTTGGGTGCTTTCCAGCAAGAGATACAGATGACACAGTGTAACACAATGAATCATTACATCCTTGTTATTTGCTGATGTTAAACAAAAATGACATAATCACTGTGTCATACTGCATTGTTTGCTGGAAAACACATTAATATCTTGTACAGTAGCAGTTTAATATTGATATTCCTAATTTATAAAATCGAAGATGAGAGAAGAAAAATTAAGATTGGGCTCTCTAGAAGAAATAGATATGAAAATATTTTTTATTGAATTAAACACTTATAATGTTTGCTTTAATAAAATTTTAATTCTAAATTTAATTATTTAAAAAGACATTTTTAATAATTATCAGTTAGATATATTATGTCTTCCAATTAAATTTCGTAGTCATACTAGTGATCAATGTGATTATAACGTATCTTATTTGTTTTATTCGAATAGGATATTTCTAACAATAAGCGTATTTCAGTTTATTAAGAAAAAAAAAAAGAACCAAATTAAAAAAAAAATTTAATATATTATTTGTTTCATATTTTTCTTTTCTTAATAAACTGGAATATGCTTATTGTTAGAAACATTTTATTCGAAAGAATATAGAAGATAATAGATATTATCTAATATATATTAATATTTTCGAAACATTGTTATTAGGGTTTGTGTGGATTGTTTTATATATCTTTATATAATAAATGTACATACACATGTACATAATATTACGTAATGATATGCTCTTACTTAATTTTGTATAATAATCACAAGTGATTAAATACAGTTGTGATGTTTAACAGTGATGCAATATGCATGACAACAACTGTTATATCGTCGCTCGTCTGAGCGAAAGGGAAAGTCGGAATAAAATTTTTCCAAGTTGCGGATGGCAACTCGGTTTAACACATCCGTGTATACATGATGTATACATATTTACAACTGCAACGTGTCGTTGCAGCTGTGTGTAGTTTATGGACGAATCCCACGTGCGTTTGTTTTCTATGCCTGCACGTTCAATATGCTGTTTATTTTTAATGTTTTTTCCTGACATACTCAGGTACTTTGAAGTATTCTCAGCGCCTGCAGAGTGGAATATAATTTTATGATCAATAATAAATAGAACTATTTAACGCTCATGCGTTAATAATAATTAGCGTTAATAATAATTAATAATAAGCGAAGTGTGACTTATATTCTCATCTCTATTTTTAAATGACTAATTCTTACGCACTTTAAAGTGAATCCTATTTTTTCTCGAAACTACTGTATCCTGTTTACACTATTAATTTATTTAGCTGAGATTTTATCTCTTTTATTGACATACTCGATACTGATATTTGAGTGACTGTAGAAATAAAATCAATAAATCGTTTTAAATCCCCCTCAAAAAAATCTCCGCTTGAAAGCTTATGATATCCGTATCTTTGTGATATGAAGTATCTAAAAATTTAGCAAGATGTATATCTGAAAATAAGTGTGGACCATCAAAATAAGGATATTAATAATGCTGTAAAAAAGTTTGACGTTCTAGCAACCAGCTTAAATGCCAATATATAATTATTTTGGTATACGTATAATTTTCAGATCCATATATACATCTCTCAATTTGTATACATACTTCAGCAAAACCATTCTTTCCCCCCGCCCCAACATTATCGCACGATACGATACAGAATTTTAAATGGTCCTCTCGCAAAAGAATAATTTATTTGAATGAATGTTAGCAGAATTATCGATGTCTGGTGAACTAGCAAGAATTATCGATGTATTATGCAACCGCGAGAATTCTTGCCTAGGTGCAGGACACCACGCAGGGACTCGTCTTTGTGGGTGAGAGCACGGAGGAGGCACGGATGCCCCCGCGGTGACACGCAAGTTGCACACGTGTGTACACACGCCCGCTGGAAGGGGTTTACTTATCAGCATTCGGTGTTGCTTAGCTGGCACTGCCGGCTTCACTTCACCTCTCGACGGTCTTGCTTAGTGCTCGTTTAACTAGCTGATCGTGCCGCACCTGTCGGACAAAGATCGCCGAACCGTCTGATTACAACGGATAATTTGTCGCGCGGAGATTCGGGAATCACTATCGCGTTATCCTTCGCGCGTTTTTCTCGTCCATCTCTTTGTCTTTCTCTTCCTTTCTTTCGTTTTTTTTTAGAACTTTAATAACAATTCCATTGATTGCCATTATTATTTCTCGACAATCACTAGCGTTAGTTTCTTTTGTGGATTCTTCGAGTGAAACTTTTTTTCGCAATTGATTGGAGGACCGCGAATATCCTGATTGCAATTTACCAATATTTTGGGAATCCATAATGTCATCGTGTTCTGATAAATACACGAACAGATCACGATAACGCACTGATATCCGGTATCTTGAGCGAACGCGATATTTTATATCGACAACGCCGCGAACAAGGCATGACAAGACCGGTGTTCGTGGATTCGGCTGGTTGATTCATACACAAGATGGTAAGTAAAACACGGTAGTTTCTCCCACTTTTCGATGTTTACGTATCTCTAGATTCCGAGGTCGATCGTACGGTCCCTGACCGCAAATTGTCCCCGCAAATACGCTCAAGGTATCACGTGCAACAGTTTCTCTTTCCTTTTTTTCCGGCAAAATTCCTAGTCGTGTTTTGCTCGAGTGACGTAAACAGTGTATCAGTTTATAGATCATTTTGTGTGATACATAGTTATGCCTACGTAGCTTCATGGCAAAATTGATATTTTTTGGTTTATCTTTATCTGCGGTAAGTCCCATATTTGACGATATTTGTGCTGACAACAAAAAATCAGATAGAATACACACACACACACACACACACACACACACACACACACACACACACACACACAATTATACGTAATTGCAATTTTTTTAAATATTTGCAAAAATGTATTTCAACTTTATAGAAAAGTATGTTGTATGTATATCTAATACATAATATCTAATACATAATTTAATATACACTCATCCGCAAACATTGGACATCATATTCATCTGTTTTTTTGCGGGTAAATAGTCATATATATATATTTCCATATATACATATACATATATATATATGTACAAATATACATAATAATTTATTTTTATCAAATTTTTTTTAGTAAAATTTGTTAGAGTCTTAATTATTAATACAATTAGAACACATAATACGTTATCTTGAATAGAATTATCTGATAATTTTCCATATCACCGAACAAATATTCTTTTAATGTCTCATCAGTTAATTAGTCTTATGATAAGATCATATATATCAATTAATTTTCAGATATACGCGGTTAAAAAAGAAAACGTCTAAAGCTCATGCAACCATTCGCAATTGATCGCACCTTTTCTTTCAATTACTCCCTCGCTTTTTCTCTCAGACAAAATATAAGATATTTATAGATTCTAGTAGATCTCGTATCATAATTGATCACGTCCGTTCGCAGACCTCGTTATTAGAGATGCAGCTATGTGCACGCAAGGTCGGATTTGTGCAAATGTTGAATCGAGAAACACATGAAGTAGATATTCACGAGATAAATATATTCTGATTAAGGAGATAAACAATAGCGTCACACAATAATGATTCGAGAAAAGCGTGTTAATTCGCCATTCTTGGTATTGTTAGCAATCGTTTTGATATTGGAATTATAAATTCTGTTTACGAAACCTCGAGGAAACGACTATCGACCACACGTATAACAGAAATTCCATCCTACGATCTTGCATTCTCGTTTCCGATAACCAAGTTACTTGAAACTGTCGCTTCATCGCTTTAATTAACGCTTATATGTCAAAATCAAGACGTATGAATTTTATCGCGATGCGTAGATAAGTAGAACATTCTGAGCATCTACAATACAGGGTGTTTCTGAAATAACGCCTACTAATCATACAGTGTTGTTCCTAATAAAAGACTGAATCGAAAAGTCCTCTACCATTTTGCAATTTTCGCAATATTTTTTTTTATAATTACTCAATGAGCAAAATGTCTAAAATCGACGTGTTAAAGACAACTTTAAGATATCTTTAAGAATTCTTTAAGAAATATCTTCAAAATATTTCACAAAGAACACACTAAAAGATATGTTAAAATTGTCTTATACATCGATTTTATCTGTTTATTCGATAATGTTTAGAAATTAATATCTCGTTAATCATTGCGAAAATTGCAAAATGATAGACAACTCTTCAACTCAGTTTTTTTATTAGGAATACCACTGTATGATTAGTGGACGTTATTTCAGAAACACCTTGTATATTAGCAAACAATCCTCAGTTCTCATATAATTCAAATTTAATTTTTTTTTTTTTTTTTGCGAAAAAGTGACTGTAAAAGTGTCTCTTCTTTCTAGGAAATCGAGGATTTGACGCTATATTTTTACATTGCATGCGGTATCTTTGCCGGTGCGTTTATCTTACTTTTCGTTTTGGTGACCGTGCTATTCGTGAAAGTAAATCGATTATCCGAGGACGGGTGAGTAACACAGCCTTTTTGTCAGCTGATAATTGGGGCGCCAATTGAAGGTTTTGGTTGCATAATCCAAAGACATTAAATATTTACCAAATATTAATTATGCTTATCATCAGTAAATATTGATTAACGTTACTCACATTCTCTATTTCATCGGTGACAGACATATACTTTATTGCAT